CCCATAGTCAGTGTCTTCGCAGACAACCGCACGATGCGCGTTGAGGACTATGTAGAGGGAGTCCAGGCGTACTTTCGCCTAGAGAAGGATGGGAAGGTGGAGAAAGTTCTCCATTCCCTGACTCTCCTCGCACAAGATGACCTTCCTTTTGATATAGTGTTGGGAATGGATTGGGGAGAGGCAGCAGGGGCCACACTTCATTTGAGAGAGCATGAGTGTAGGCTCCCTAGTCCGGCGGGCGAAGTTAAGACTGCCCGCTTGTTCCACGTGTCGGGTGTAGACAACACCTTGGCACATTGCTGTCTCAGTGCTCCCGCGTTCGAGCGATTAGTCAGAAAGGAGCAGTTAGAAGATCAGGTCTTTGTAGTTTATGTTAGACCTGTCACTGAGGCCCAGGGAAAGGATAGTTCCACAGATCCAACAATTGCCAAGCTGCTGGAAGAGTTTCAGGATTTGACTGAGTCGCCATGTCCCCTAGAGAGTTAGAGGAGCTTCGCAAGCAGTTAGACGAACTCCTTGAGAAAGGTTGGATCAAGCCCAGTTCATCTCCTTTTGGAGCACCCGTTTTGTTTGTCCCCAAGAAGGAAGGAGAACTTCGTATGTGTATGGACTATAGGGGTTTGAACGCGATCACAGTAAAGAACGTTGAGCCACTGCCCAGGATAGACGATCTTTTAGATCGGGTACAGGGTTGTAAGTATTTTTCTAAGATAGACTTAAAGTCCGGATACCATCAGATAGAGGTTCATCCTGATGATCAGTACAAGACTGCGTTCCGGACTAGATATGGGCATTATGAGTTTATAGTGATGCCCTTTGGACTAACCAACGCGCCAGCTACTTTTCAGCGTTGTATGAATAACCTGTTTAGACCGTGGTTAGATAAATTTGTAGTAGTCTACTTAGATGATATCCTAGTCTTTAGTAAGACCCTCCAGGAGCACCAGGGTCATCTAAGGCAGGTCTTGGGGAAGCTTAGAGGCTAACTTCAAGATCAATGCGAAGAAGTGCGAGTGGGCCAAGACGCAAGTCCTGTACTTGGGCCATGTATTAGACGGAGATGACATTAAGCCCGAGGACAGCAAGATAGCGGCGATTAGAGATTGGCCGACGCCCCGCACATTGACAGAGTTGCGGTCGTTCCTAGGCTTAGCTAACTACTATAGGAAGTTCGTAAGGAACTTCTCGACTATCGCCGCTCCCTTGCGCAGGTTGCTGAAGAAAGAGGCAATCTGGCAATGGGACAAAGACTGTACGTCTGCGCTCAAGAAG